TATTTGTTTTCGCAAAAGAAGTTAAATCTGAGGCAGTGACGATGGATAGAGTGTTAAAGAACTATGATTGTGACCTTGGGTATCATCCCGGAAAGGCCAACCGGGTAACTGATGTATTGAGTCTGAAGTTAAGTGTCGCACATTTGATGGTAAGGAATGGGCATTATTAAAAAGAGTACGAGACTCGGGGTTTAGATTCGAACTAAGTCAAGTATCGAACTGGCTAGCCACTCTGGGGATTGAATTGGAGATTCGGACTAAGATTAAGATTTTGCGGTTTGCGGATCAAGGAATTCACAGAATTCTAGAAATGGATAATATTAAGGGGAAACCGGACTTCTAAGTGTCCGAGGATGGAATTCTGAAATTCCAAGAACGTTTGTGCGTGTTCGATGATTTGGAGTCTAAGGAAAAGATTTTGGTGGAAGCTCATGGGAGCAGTTATAGTATTCATCCGGGCAGCACAGAATTGTACCAGAAATTGTGGTAACATTATTGGTGGAATAAACTGAAAAAGGACATGGCTAAGTATATAGCCAAGTGATCGGCGTGCCAACAAGTAAAGGCACGGCACGGTAAGCCCGGAGGATTATTGTGATCTTTGAAAATCCCAGAATGGAAATGGGAACGCATAACTATGGATTTTGTGACAGGATTGCCAAGGAGCCAAAGAGGCCATGATACTATTTGGGTGATTGTCGACAGATTGACCAAGTCGGCACACTTTTTGGCTGTGCGAAAAGACTTCGCATTAGATCGATATGCTGAGTTATATGTGCAACAGATAGTTCGTTTGCACGGGGTGCCAGTGACGATTATGTCAAATCGCGATCCCAGGTTTACCGCCAATTTTTGGAAAAATCTGCAGACGGCATTGGGATCAAAGCTGCAGTTTAGTACTGCTTATCATCCGCAAACGGATGGTCAGTCTGAGAGGATGATTCAGACCTTAGAGGATATGCTACAGGCATGTGTGTTGGGTTTTCAAGGTAAGTGGGAAGAATAATTGCCCTTAGTGGAGTTTGTGTACAATATCAGTCTTCAGCAGAGTATTGGAATGGCGCCATTTGAAGCGCTGTATGGTAGGGCATGTAGGACGCCCCTATGTTGGGACGAAGTAGGAGAAAGAAGTATAACTGGGCCAGAGTTAGTTCAATAGTCAGTTGAGGCTGTTAAGGTGATTCGTGAAAGGCTGAAAATAGCTTAGAGCCGTCAGAAGAGTTATGCAGACAGAAGGCGAAGGCCTTTGGAGTTTCAAGTAGGGGATCACGTATTTCTTAAAGTATCGCCCATGAGAGGATTATCTAGGTTCGGTAAGAAAGTTAAGTTGAGTCCGAGGTACGTGGGACCTTTTTAGGTTTTAGATCGGATTGGAGATTTAGCGTATCGCCTTGCACTTCCGCCAAAGTTATCGCAAGTGCATAATGTGTTCCATGTATCGATGTTGAGGAAATATGAACCGGACCCAACTCACGTGTTAAATTATGAGAAGATAGAAGTCGGTGACAAGGTGTCCTATGTCGAGAGACCAGTAAGGATCGAGGATCGGAAAGAATGAGTCTTGAGGAACAAGACGATCCCGATGGTCAAGGTGGTATGGGAGCATCATGGGACTGAAGGCGCAACTTGGGAAAGTGAGGAATTGATGCAACGTTATTATCCCCATTTGTTTGAATAGTTAGTTGGGTTGTAAATTTCGAGGATGAAATTTTTGTAAGGGGGAAGAGTTGTGACATCCTGAAATTTTGCCCATTTGGGATTTATAAAATTCGATTATTAATTAGAGCCCAAATTGGATATCGGAAAATTAGGAAGTCACGGCAGAACGTTAGGACGACGTTGTGGTTGGAACGTGCAATTTTGGATGTGCCCGAATCCTTCAAAAAAATTCAATTTCGGCAAGAAAATGGGAAAGTGACCATTTTACCCTTGGGAATTTCTAAAGGGTTAGTTTTATGGAGCAAGGGCGTTTTGGTAATTTTGCCCAAAAATTGGAAAAGACACTTTTGCCCTTGGACTTTTTGAGAAATTCCAAGATTGCCCTTGGATATTTTGGATGAGATTCGATCTGGGCCGTCGGTTTCAAGATAAGATCGAATCTGGGCCGTCGGATGAAAAGTAGAGAGAATGGCATTTTGGTCATTTGGCAAAAAGTTGGTCAAAACTTGGTTTTTAAGCCAAGATCTTCCTCTCTCTCCCCATTCTCCCTCTCCTCACCTCACGGCTCCCCTCCCCCACCGAACCCACCTTCTCCGGCCATCTCTCTCCCTCCCGCCGTGAGCCGCCGCCGCCCACCGCTTGCCGATCGCCGCCCACCGTGGGTCGTACATCGCCGCCGCCGCCACAAGATCGACGCCCGTTTGGCTCTAGCCGTGTGAGTCTAGAGCCGGGTAAGTTCAACCTAAACCTCGCCTAGTTTATTGGGTAAATTTGGACTCGTTTAGATGCGGTTTGATAGAAATTAGGGGTTGAATGAAATAACGGGCCGTAGGATTGAATTCGGGAATTTTTGGAGGAATTTTAGAGGCCGAGTGTTGGCTGTGAAGGGCTGTTCGAGGTGCTGTGGTGTGCTGTTGGGTACGTGGTTGGTACTGTTAGGTCCGGCTCGGAATTTTATAAAAGTGCCGTGAAGAGCCGGGAATGGAATATTGCGATTTTGAGTGTGAAAATAGCAGATTAATGGCTGTGATGTGTGGTTCTATGTGTTGTGATGTGCCGATGGGCGTATGGTTTGCACTGTTAGGTCCGGCTCGGAATTTCGTGAAAGTGTCGTGAAGAGCCGGGAGTGAGATATGTTGATTTTGAGGGCGAAAAAGGCTGATTGATGGCTGTGATGTGTGGTTCTATGTGCTGTGGGGTGCTGTTTGTTGTATGGTTGGTACTGTTAGGTTCGGCTCGAGATTTTGTGAAAATGCCGTGAAGGGTCTGAATTGATTTGATAACGTTTGGGTGTGGAAAAATGCTAGTTTGTGTGTTGATCGTGTGTTTTGTGATATGACTGTGTGATTGTGATTTATTGGGTGCAATTGTGTGCACGAAATTAAATGCGAATGTGTGCGAGTGTGAGATTGGGATCGGGCCGAGGCGTCGTAAGCTCGAGTCGCGATCACGTAGGCCTGTCGCATTTGGCGTAGGCTGAGGATTGAGGAAATGGAAAATGAGATTGGCCCGAGGTATGATCAGCTCGGGTGAGAATAGGATCGGGCCGAGACGTTCTAAAACTCGGGCCGCGATCATGTAGGCCTGTCGCATTTGGCGCGGGCTGAGGAAAGAACGTGTGAATGGGATCGGACCAAGGCGTGTGATGCTCGGGGCGCGATCGTGTGGGCCTGAGGCGTGTTTACGCGGGCCGAGGAATGTGATTGAGAACGGGGTGTGTGGTATGGTAAGAGAAAGTGGGATCGGACCGAGGCGTGTGATGCTCGGGGCGCGATCGTGGGGGCCTGAGGCGTGTTTACGCGGGCCGAGAAAGTGATTGAGCTAGTGGGGCAAGACGAGGAAAGTAAAGGAAATTGATGCGATAGTGCGTGATCGATGCGTGTTTTTGGCATGGAAATGTGTGGGGTTTGTGGTGCGCAAAGTGTGAAATGCGTGCGAGTTTGAATGTTGTGATTATGAACTAACGTGCAGGCTGAGTATGCCAAGAGTCCAGATAAGTGTGATTGCGTGAATAGTGTTTGTTCGTGTTGCTCGTTTGAGTGTCTGAACTTGTCTGGAATACGTGGTAGCCTAGGTAGGGTTTAGGTTGTGACTTATTGAGAAGTGTCTCATGGTTGTTTCAACCAAACTATTTCAGAGCACCCGCCCGAGCCTTGAACCTTCCGCCGCTACCGCCGCAGCGTTTTGGGATCTCGATGCATACCGAGCATTCAGGAGTAGAATATACCTTGACTGCTAATCCCTTTTGAGGACGAGGACGCGATCCGTAGAAGTCAGTTGGTGTGCGTGTATTATAAGTTTGATATTAAATTAGGAAGTGCTCGATGTGAATAGTTGGTGGTGTGATCAGGAAATCCGTTCGGGTGTGTACTATCAGTTGATGTGAATCTGATGGGTGTTGGAAGTGTTTGGTTGTAAAGAATTGGTTGTTGTATATTTATATATCGAGGTATAGTTTTATGTTTGGTGGGTTGGTGATTTATTTCTTCCTGGTGTTCTCCAATTTTATTGTCCGGGTATTTTGTGGTTTCCGCTGATCGTTCAAAATCTCTGATCATGTTAAGTGAGGTCGGCGATACCCTGGGATGTCGCATTAACCGACCAATAGAGGGTGAAGTGCGCTCGATGGGGTTCGGGGCGTGACATTAATTTTTATTGGGCATGATGAATAACGGAAAAGAAATAGCGGTTAAAAGACTCTCGAAATATTCTGGACAAGTGAAAATCTTAGGTTGTTGCATTTACGAAGACGAGAAATTGTTAATTTATGAGTATTTGCCCAATAAAAGCTTGGATTTACTCCTTTTTGGTAAGTCCTCTCTTCCCAGTGGCCAGAATTTCCGTTCTGCAGCTAGTATTATGGATAATAACTTGAGGAAATTCCCAAATTTGTTCCAGATGAAACAAAAAGATCACTTCTGGATTGGGGAAGAAGGTTCGACATTGCATATGGGGTAGCTCGAGGACTCTTATATTTACACCAGGATTCGACACTGAGGGTAATCCACAGAGATTTGAAAGCTAGCAATGTCTTACTGGATGTTGCATTGAACCCGAAGATTTCAGATTTTGGGATAGCTAGGATATGTGGAGCAGATCAAATTGAGGGAAAAACGATGCGCGTTGTCGGGACATAGTAAGTGTTTTTCTTGAGCATTTAAATTCTGCTTTACCTGATTAAACAGTGAGAAAATTAGAACAAAGAAAAATAACTTGGGCCAAACATTTTCTTTCATACTAAAGTTTCAAATGTAGTTATGTTTCTGAAAGTTCAACGACGAAGTTTATACGGTGAATGAGATGTTGATGACTGCTTTCTTTTTTGACTTCTGTAGTGGGTATATGGCACCCGAGTATGCTCTGCATGGCCGCTTTTCAATAAAATCAGATGTGTACAGTTATGGAGTTATGTTGTTAGAGATCATTACAGGCCAAAGATTTAGTGGTTGCTATCATATGAACCCATTTTACAATCTAATTGGTCATGTAAGTATGAAACTCTTGCATAATTCAATGCAATACACAATTTCAACAGCCTCTACATTCACATCATCACAATCCATGGTGTTTGGTATGTGTTCTTCCCAGGTATGGGAGCTGTGGAAAGAAGGAAAATGCATGGACATTGTCGACACATCAATGGACAAGACATATTCTGAGGAAATGGTATCGAGGTGCATTCAAATCGGTCTTTTGTGTGTGCAAAGATATGCATCGGATAGACCAACTATGACCGCAGTGGTTTTCATGTTGGGGAACGCTGATGTGGTACTTCCATCCCCGAAACAGCCCGCGTTCATCGACGAGAGTGACTACAATGGAGATATTCAGTCAGCACGCAACAGAACATGTTCTGTTAACGGAGTTACAGTTACTGTTGTTGAAGCTCGCTAGTCACATGCCATCGCAATTGAACTGTGTAATCTTTTAAATTTGAGAAATTGAAATACTCCCCTTTTCAGTAGATAGATGAGACGTAAAGGGTAATCGTGCTTAAGAGAAAAGTTCTTATATATAGATTAGAGAAACCAGGACACCACAAGTGCCATAACTTTGGTATGATGCTCACTTGAATGCCCTAACTTTTTTTTACCACTTCAGTGTTATAACTTCTAAAAAAACGTTCACTTGAGTGTCATGACTTTCAATTAATTATGTAAGTACCAAAAAAAATTTAAAAACGTTCACCCAAGATAGCACTTGTGGTGAATGTTTTTAAAAAATTACGTCATTCAAATGAGCGACGTGCATAAGTTATGTCACTTAAGTAATCGCAAAAAAAAAAGTTATTATACTCAAGCGAGTGCCGTACAAAAATTATGGCACTTGTGGTATTCTTTTCCGTAGATTAGACACAAGAGACTTATGTTAAAAGTTTCCTTGATTTATTGATTGAGCTCATTCTATCTCTTAACCAGAGACTTGTAAAACTGAATTACCGTTGCTGCAGCATTTTCTTTCTCCCACAATCATCTGATTTATCGCGCCCAACTCAATTTATGTTTGCAGGAAGTTATTGATTTCATCTCGAGATACAAAAAAAAAGAAAAAAAAAGAAGACCCTTTACCTTTTCTTGATTTACCTTGTTTTTGCATTACAAGTTCATAATAGGGATCTTGTTCTCAAGAAGACAGGGATCCTTACTTCACCCATAAACTTGAAGATGGAAATGAATGGATTAAGAGCAAAAAGAGTGACACTGAAACTAACTCTAGGCATAGGGTCTCCTAGTATCACACATTTCAGCTCTTTAGACTCACTTGTTTGGTTGACAGTTCTTAGGGGAAAAGTGTCAAAAAAAGTCCAAAACTTTTATATTGGTGCCAATTTAATCCTAAACATTTTTTTGATGAAAATTTAGTCTTAAACCTTTTGTGTTTGTGCCAATTCAGTCCTTCCGACTAATTTTGATCCGATTTTTGTGACGTGGATGCTGGCCAGCCTACGTGGCACCGCCGGCGCTGACGTAGACAATTTTTAATAAAATTTAAATATTTTAAATATTTTTTCTTATTTTTTTCCTTTTTCCTTCTTTTCTTTTTTGGCTTTCTTCAGCCTTTTTCCGGTGACCGACCACTGGCCATGGCTGGCCGGGTTGTCCTCGCCCGGGGGAGGGTTGACCTCGCCCGGCCAGGCAACACTGGGCGCGGCCTGGGCGAGCCCCGGCCAGGCGAGGGCGAGCCCTGGCAAGGGCTTGTGAGTGGAGCCCTAGTCGGGGCTCGCCCAGGCTGCGCCGGGTGTCACCTGGCTGGGCAAGGGCAGCCCAACCAGCCATCGCCGATGGCCGGTCACCGGAAAAAAGGTTGAAGAAAGCCAAAAAAGAAAAGAAGGAAGAAGGAAAAAAATCAGAAAAAATAATTTAAAAATTAAAATATTATTAAAAATTATCCACATCAGTACTGGTGGCGCCATGTAGTCCGGTCGGCGTCCACGTCACCAAAATCCGGCCAAAATTAGCCAGAAGGACTGAATTGGCACAAATACAAAATGTTTAGGACTTAATTGGCACCAAAAAAGGTTTAAGACTAAATTGACATCAATGCAAAAGAATTAAGACTTTTTCAACACTTTTCCCCAGTTCTTAGTGTCATCATTACAAATATAAGTGAATCAATCATGTTCCAAATTGACAATTTTATTAGGTCGACCTTAATTTGTCTGTACCTAGTTAGTTTTGTCATCTAACTGGTTCATCATAAAAAAAAAATTATTAATAGTCTTCTAATTTTCGTCCAAATCTATTATATTGATGCATGCTGACATCCCAACAAGGATGATAACGAAAGACCATCTCTTTCATGATAAGCCCCGGTTTTCCATGTGACGAGAACCTTCCTTGAGGTTATCTTTCCTCAAGGCAATCTATTTTTTTTCCTTGTATAGACTGCCGGTCTATAAAATGCAGACAATGAGAAACAAACAATTGCTTGAGATAAGTTGTCTGTCTTTCTCGGTCTTGGCTTGAAAAATATATTGAGTGTATTGATTATTGACACATAAATTTTGGCGACCTACTTAGGCATTTATCGCATAAAAGATTAGAGATTGATTTCAAACCCTAACCAAAGATATTACTATTTGCATTTGCATTGCATTATAAGCATTAGTACTATCTAAGTCAGTCTGGTCATGGTAATGCCTTGGAATTGGCCCAAAATGCTAAATGAATTTGGACTTTGGCGGGGAGGCCCTAAAACTTACTAGAACCTTTAGAGTCAAGCTTGTTTGGTACATTGGAATGTCTCTGACGGATGTATAAAATCAATTTTTAGCCAAATTTGGGTATAAGAATTTACGAAAAGGAGAGAGTAACATATGAATTACCCATCCACGGAAGGATATACATTTGAAAATTCGATCGAGCCAAATCCCAAGATTGACTGAACTTTTCTGCCGAGGAAAGTGGCAAAAGGAAAGGAAATAAGGTTGGAGAGGCGTATATTTGGCCATGCAAGGAGTGAATAGATCATGTTCCTAAAGAGGAAAAGTTATTACAAGAAAACAGGACAGTCCGGCTTATAAAAGAAGAGGAGGAGACTTCCACGGGGACTTCTTTTTCTTTGAGGGGTATGTGTTGAGCGTTAGAGGCGCGGCAACAATATTGATTTGATGGAAAAAAATTTTTGAAGGTGAAATGATCGCAATTCGCGCCTTTCTATTGCATGTCTCAATTACAAGAGAAATAGACTATATATAGGTCATAGTTTGATTCGAAATAGGAAACCTCTTTCTAGGAAACCTATTCTAATTAGGAAACCTACTTGACTTAGGAAACTTTCCTAAAATATAACTAGAAACAATATCTTACAATATCTTATCTTATCTCTTAATATCTCACCATATATATGAAAAATCAAAATATGGAAATATGAACAGACTCAAAAAGGAAACAAGTACTAATAAATTTGGTTTAATTTCTAACACTCCCCCTTAAACCAAATTCTCTTCCATCGATCATTCCAAGCAGGCTCTTGAACTTTCGAAAAGCATCGATCTTGAAAGGTTTAGTAAAAATATCTGCTACTTGATCTCCGGTCTTCACATGCAATACTTCAACTTCATTCTCTTTAACCTGTTCTCGGATGAAGTGATATCGAACATCGATATGTTTACTTCGTTCATGAAAAACTTGATTTTTCGCCAAAGCAATAGCAGAGACATTATCAACAAAAATCTTCGTTGCTTTCTTCTGCTCCATAAAAATATCTTTGAGTAGTCTTCTCAACCATATTGCATGATAAACACATGAAGATGCAGCTACATATTCAGCTTCACATGTCGACAGAGTAACACTTGGTTGCTTCTTTGATGACCACGTGAAAGCAGTGTCGCACAAGAAAAATACAAATCCCATGGTGCTTTTTCGATCGTCGATATCTCCACCATAATCACTATCCGAATAAGCTCTAAGTTTGAAAGATTCAGAGCAATAATAGTGTAAACCATGAGAAATAGTACCTTTGATGTACCAAAGTATTCTCTTTGCAGCTTTAAGATGAGATGATTTCGGCTTCTCCATATATCAACTAACAATTCCAACGCTATACATAATATCCGGTCTCGTGCATGTCAAGTATCTCAAACTCCCAATCAAGCTTCTATAATATGTCGAATCAACATCGGCACCATCATCAAACTTCGAAAGCTTAGTTCCGCACTCCATTGGTGTATTGACCGGTATACAGTTCTTTATGTTGAATTTTTCAAGGATATTTTCTGCATATCCTTTTTGGGAAATAAAAAGACCATCGGCACTTTGCTTCACTTCGATACCAAGCAAATAATTCATGAGACCATTATCGGTCATCTCAAATTCTTTCACCATCGATGCCTTAAAAGCATCAATCATCACCGAATTATTTTCTGTAAAAACAAGATCATCTGTCACGCCCCGTACCCCACGAAGCATGAGCATCCCGCTTATAGGTCGAAATAGTGGTGCGACGCTCCCAGGTTACGTCACCGACCCGAAACCCAAATCAGAGAAAACACGCCACATGCGGAGACGTCGTATATATAATAAATATATATATATACACCCAGACAATTTAAAAGCAACCATGAGTGACAAGAGATACCAATTACGATCGATTAAACCCCCATATACATTATCCATTTACAAAAAAAAAAATAAAAAGGTACATCAAAAGGCCACGAACAAAAAGGGATCGGTGACCTAGGGGTGTCAACTAACTACCGGAGGGGTACGGTCAAAAAATGTCGACCCTCACTCCTATACTCATATCTAAGCTACGGTACCCAGTCAGGATCAGAACCCGACGACTCCGAAGAACTCTCGAATTGCTCTTGATCCTCCTCAGAACTCATGGCCTCCAACTCTGTCTCTGGCTCAGGGTCTTGCTCCTCGTACTCGTCTATGTCCATAGGCTCAGGGGCTTCTGCGTCCACCTGCTCTGGAGCTGGATCGACTATCTCCGGCTCGAAGGCTAATCCACCAAGCTCCTCGTGCTCTTCCTCTTCTTCCACAATCTCGTACTCAACCTCAGAATCAGGATTGCCCTCCATATCAACATCTACTACATCACCGTCTGGACACTGAATATCTATCTGACCCTCTCCCACAAACGGGACGTCGGCGGACCTGATGGGACCGAATTCTACTCCAAAACGATCCCGGAAACACCAGGCTAGGTACTCGTGAGTCTCAAAGTGAGCTAAGCCTACGTCTACCCATACTAAAGCATAGTGTCTATAGTACTTCTCCCCGTTCCCCACGGGGTGCACGGTCAGCGTACGCTCTATATGGTGGGGAATCCCAAAGCGTAACGGTGCATCGTCGAAGTTCATGGCGGGAGATCTGAAAAGTCGGTTTTACCACAACCGTGAGAAAACTCAGCAAGTAAAAACCACTAATCCTAAACTAGGCTAATGTGCACCTCCAGAGGGTAAATAAAACACATAAATAGATAAACCAGTATAACAATCAATATAAGTTCACCCGG